GGGCGCCAAAGGGCGGTGACGTCACTGCCCCGGCCCGCGGGGGACAGCCCGCAGCTGCGCGGGGCGGGCGGGCGGGCGGGGACCGGGCCCCGGACCCCGCGGGAGCGCGCCGCTGCCCGCTGCCCGGCCCGGGGCGGGGCGCCTACCCGGGTTGTCCACGCCGGTCTGGATGACGTCGTCCAGCGTGAAGCCGCTCGGCGTGCTCTTGGCGCGCAGCTCGGCGTACAGCTCGGGGGTCAGCACCTTGGCCATGTGGTTGTTGTGGGCGCTGAGGTCGGGGAACTCGTCCTCCGCCGGGAAGCGCAGCTTCAGCGCGTTGTGGCTGTTGGAGAAGGGCATGGCGGCGGGCGGCGGGCGGCGGGCTGCGGAGGGAGGACGGCGCATCAGAGGGGCGGGCACCGGCCTCCCAGGCCCTGCGAGCCTCCGGGCCCCGGCCCCGGCCCGGCCCCCCGGATGCGGCCAAGGTCAGCGGGTCCGCTGTGCGCGCTCGGGGGCGTCCCACCTCCCCAGGCGCTCGGGCTCTGGGCTGGGGGGTCTTCGCCGCGCCCGGAGCAGAGGACGCAGCGGCCCCGCGCCCCTCCGCGCGGCCCCCGCCCCGCCCCGGCCCCCACCCCGCTCCGCCCCGCCCGGCCCCGGGCCCGCTCACCCGGCGGCGGGAGCGCGGTGCCTCCTCAGCTCCGGAGCGTCGCAGGCGGACGGCGGCGGTCCGCGCTCCCGCGGCTCTTAAGGGGCGCCACGCGGGCCGCCCATTGGCTGCTATTTATAGCCCATTCATTCCATTGGCCCGCGCCGCGGGGTGGTGTCGCCGCTTTGTCCGCCGCCCCCAGCTCCCACCCACCCACCCCCGGGCCTCCCACCGGAGGATGCCTCCCCGCCCCGCGCATCCCGCCTCCCCGGCTCGGCCCGGCCCCGCCCGCCCAGCACCCCGAAGCCGGACCGCAGACCTTTGGACGTCCTGGGGCGCCCCCCAACACTGCCGCCGGGCGGGAAACTGAGGCAGGGAGCGGCCGGGGGCTGAGGAAGCTCCGGCCTGTCCGCATTCTGGTTCCCGCCTCCCCTCCCGCCGGTCCCCGCGTGGACAGCGGCCAGGGCGGGCGGGAGGGAGCGTCCTGGGCCGCAGGTGCTGCCCCCACCACCACCGCGCCGGCCAGCTGGTCCCAACCGCGACCTTTCTCAAGGTGCCCCAGGCATCTCCGGGCGATCTTGGTGCAGAGTGAAAGCAGCCCGCGGCGCAGTCTGGCTGCGGCCCAGCCCGCAGCACCTGCGGAGCCTTGACCTTGGGGCGTCCTGAAGCTCTGGGGGCCCTGCCTCTCCGCGGAGGGGAGACCCAGTGAGGCTGCGGAGTGGTGCAGAGCCTGTCTCCAGACCCCAGCCTGGCCCTCTGCGCCGGGGGCAGGGGCAGCCTCACCACCCAGCCCCCCATGCAAAGATGGGAGGACTCCCTCACCATTAAGTATCTGTGAGATGTAAAAAAAAAACAAAAAGAAAAAAAAAACCAAAAACCCTAAAAATCAGAACCGTGCAAATTAAGTTTAAAAAACAATGACTCTTCTACCTTCCATTACCCTTACACACACACACACACACACACACCCCAGATTAGCAGAATGTGAGAGGGACAGCAGCGGTGTGTACTGTGGGCTGGACCTGCGGAGACAGGCCCTCACACTGTGCATTGCTCCATCTTTTTTGGAAAGCACTTTGGCAGGACATCTATCAGAGTTAAAAACATTCCCACTCCCTGACCCCGAGCTCCGGCTTCCGCCTATGGAAAGGGCTGCCTCGCCAATAGAGACCTATAGTTCGAAAAGCAAACACAGGTCAACCTGGACAGACCTGATGCCCATCGCGAGGGGCGTGCAGGGGGGGCCTGAGCCTGTGTGGAGGGTTTTAGTGTGAATTGGAGCCGCTGTGGTTAATACCCATCAGACGCTGCTTTTAGAATAAAGAGCTGAAACCGGTGTGGCTCAGTGGACAGAGCATCGGCCTGCAAACTGAAAGGTCTCAGGTTTGATTCCTATCGAGGGCACATACCTGGGTTGTTGATCCCCAGTAGGGGGCATGCAGGAGGCAGCTAATCAATGATTCTCTCTCATCACTGATGTTTCTCTCTCCCTTCCTCTCTGAAATCAGTAAAAATACGTTTTAAAAAAGAATAAAGCACTAAAGGAGGAACGCCTCTTCTACACCCCTCCGCCCCCAGGCCTGCACGGTGAGCTCTGCGGGCAGCGGGAAGTGAGGGGGGGGGGGCCCTGAGTGAGCATCCCAGCGAAGGACCACCAGACGGAGGAGATGGGGCGGGTGGGAGAGCCAGGAGTCCCTGTGCCGGGGACGCCCTGAAGCAGAGACCCAGGGACAAGCACCGAGCAGTCCCCTCACCTCTGCAGGCATCAAAGGGTGCGGAGCCTCACTGGCTGTCCCCGTGGTGACCGCCCCGTCCCTCTCACCTGGGCCTGCTCTGACCCGTTCCCACAGAGCTTTTGTGTTTGGGTGCTGGCGTTTTGTGAGGCTCAAACAAGCCATTGTACGGGGCAGGCGGGCAGGCGGGCTGGACAGCAGGTGTCCCTTAAGCTGGGGTTCCTGCAGCCCCTTCCCCCGTTTCAGAAATATCTGCAGCTGCCTCCGCCTCCGGAGGCCTGACCGGCTCAAGTTCCTGTTTCTAGAAACCAGAGCTGCTGGCCCTGGAGGCTGGCTTGGAGTGTGTGTGTGTGGGGGGGGGGGGGGGGAGTGCTCAGGGCTTCCTCTTTGTCTCAGCCTCTGCAGGAGCTCTGCAGGCCCCCTCCCCCACCCTCAGGCCGCCCAGGGCTGGCCACTTTGGGGGTGGGGAGAGGGAAGGACTCCCTGCACAGGCAAGCTCTGCTTGGACAGGGAGCCCAGCCGGGACCGCCCTGTGGGCTCAGCACCCTCAGCCTTTGGGGCTGGGTCTTCTGTCCAGTTTGCACATAAGCAGAGGGGAGGTCCCAGGTGGGGGATAGAGGGCGGGCAGTCCCTCCTACCTGGAGTGGCCCACCCTGGGCTGGACTCGGACTGATGCAAGGGGTCAGCAGCCGGGGCAGGGGCAGGGGCAGGGAACTTTGCAGCCTTTAGACCCAATGCCAAGGTGAGGGCGGCCCCACACCGGTGGGCTGCTTGGGGCCTGGTGGTCGCGGACCAGGGCAGCAGGGGACGGGTGGAGGAGCCCCTGGCTGACCTAGCCCCCACCTGGGCTCTCCTCGCTCCCCAGGGCCCACAGGAGCCGGTTGAGTGGCGTCTGGGAGGAGCAGGTGACATCACCTGGCCCGGATCCAGTGTGGGCTCCTCAGAAATCACACCTGGTTAGCCCAGCCCGGGAGGGGGAGGCAGCCTCCAGGGAGGGACTGCAAGCAGGCAGGGGCGGGCCAGGTGCAAGGACCAGCTGGGCACCCGTCATCTTTGGAGCCCGGGTCAGAGCGGCCAGGGCAGCAGTTGCTTCCTCCTCGCGCCCAGCCTCAGCTCTGCGGACCTGGAGGAAGCCGGCTGTCTCAGGGGAGGCAGGGCTGCCAAGGAGCCAGGCACAGTGGGCGGCCGGGCCGGGCCGGGCTGGTCAGAGGAGGGACCTCGCCTCACCTGTCCCGGCCAGGACGTGGACGGAGCAGCTTCCCTGTGTGCATGCTCAGCTTCTCCCTCTCCTCCAGGGCTTCCTGCCTGCCTCTTCCCACCTTTCTCCAGACCTGTCGTCAGTTCTCTGCAGCCACGTTTACTGGCTTTAAATTCCAACTTCCTCTCCCCGTCTGTGAAATGGTCCCTCCCTCCTGCACAGACTCTGGCCCGGGAAGGCGCCAACCTGATCTGGGGCATCAGCTGGGTGGGGGGAGGGGCGGAGGCCGGTGCTTGAGGACTCGGGCTGAGCGCCTGGTGGCTCAGATGGAGCAGATGGGAAGGCGGACTGCAGGAGGGGCAGCCGGGAACGGCCACGGCAGTGGGAGAGGGACCACGAGAAACACCCAGGCCTAATTTAGGCGGAGCAGGCGCCCAGCCGGGGCTCCCCACCACACGGAGGCTGGGGAAGAGGAACTCGGAGGAGAAGTGGAAAATCCAGCTCTCTCCGGGGAGCAATCAGGGAGTGACTCAGGCGGTGCAAAGGCGTCAGGCAGTCACTGGAACAGGGTGGGCCGCGGTGCGCGGGGCGGGCTCAATGTTGAGAGCAGGAGGCAGGGAGGCCATGAAGCAGCCACACAGGCTGCTAGTGGCCAGAGTGCTAGCCCCTCCGGGACATGAGCCCACAGAGTGGAGGCCACCCACAGCCCCTCACCTTCTTATCCCTGAGGATCCCAGACCTGGGTTCCCACCGTGGACTGCGGGGGCCACCGACTGGCCAGTCCCGGCCCCAGAGGAGGGAGAGTTCAGAGAGCCCCACGGGGTGGCAAGGCTGTGTGGAGGGGCTGGCTCTCCTGGGCACTCCCATTTTGCCAGGCTAGACCAGCCGCGCCCAGAAGTGTGGCCTCAGGTAGGGCCTAGGCTAAGCCCCATCCCTAACTAGCCCCTCCAGCCGCTGGGCTAACGGGACAAGCCCTGCTCGCGGGAGCTGAGCGCTGGCACGCACGCAGTCCGCGGCTCCGGCCCGCCTCCCCCGCAGGAGGAACCGGTTCTGAGTCAGCCGGCGAGGCACAAGCCTGCGCCTTCCCGGTCCGCCCCTCCCCCCGGCCCTGGCTCGGGCCGCTGGCACGGTCCCCACTGAGTCCAAAGTGAGCCGGTCCACCCAGCTCTCGCTGCACCCGGGTCTCGGGGGGCCCAGGCCCCTCCCTGGCTCCCTCCCAGGTCTGCACTCCGAGGGCGGGGCCGGCGGGGAGCGGGCCTGGGCGGCGGCCTCCGCTGCACCCTGCCAGACCCCTGCACCCTGGCTGACCCCGCGGAGCCTTCCCTCCGGCCTGCGATTGCATTTTCCGGAATGCACCCGGGCCCAGGCAGGGGCAGGGTGTTCCCCGCGGTGACCACATGTCCGGGCCCCGTGTCCTCCCAGGGGCGGCCTCGGGTCGGGGTGGCGGCCGCTGGGACCGTGGGACTCCGGCCGGCCCCCCACGGCCGTGTAAACACAGGAATCACACCCCGGGGAGCCGCGGGCGGGAGCGTGCACGTGCCCAGGCCCCGCGGCGACGGCCGGCGCCGTGACGTCATCGGCAGGCGCCGCGCGCCAGGCTGCAGCCGGAAGTGCCGCGGCCCCGACCCACGTGCGCACCCTCCCTCAGCCCGGCGAGCGGGGCGTCGGTGAGAGTCCGCGGGGCCGTGCGCGGGCGGGGGTCGGTCCGGGGTCCCGCGCGCCCCTCAGGCTCCGTGGTGCCGCCCAGACCGGTGCGGGCCCGGCCGCTGCTGCGTCCTCCGCTGGCGGGGCCCTCGCTCCCCGCGTCCCTCGGCCCCCGCCCGCCCTTCGGCCCCGGAGCCCGCCCCGGAGGCTGGGGGAGGGGTCCGCCCCGGAGGCTGGGGGAGGGGCCCGCCCCGGAGGCTGGGGGAGGGGCCCGCCCCGGAGGCTGGGGGAGGGGTCCGCCCCGGAGGCTGGGGGAGGGTCCGCAGCGTCCAGCCTCCCCTCTCACCGGGGTGCGCGCCCGGCTCCTGGCAGAGCGTGAAAAGAGGGTTCGGGCCTGACTCGGTGGGGATCCTCTCAGAGTCTGCTTTGGGCCGGTGGCTGCCGCCTCACACCCCAGGCCCAGAAGGCTTCATGTCGGCCAGGGTGGCGCTGCCCCTCCCCGTGGCGGGGGGCCTGGGGTCACCACGCACATCCTGGCGCCTGTACACGCTGACGCCCCCGCCCCTCTTCCAGGTCCCTGGCCCCGCCGCAGAGCCGCACCATGAGCTTCGTGGGGTATGAGGAGCTGATCAAAGAGGGGGACACCGCCATCCTGTCCCTGGGCCACGGGGCGATGGTGGCGGTGAGCGTGCAGCGCGGGGCCCAGACCCAGACCCGGCACGGCGTCCTGCGGCACTCGGTGGACCTCATCGGCCGCCCCTTCGGCTCCAAGGTGACCTGCGGCCGAGGGGGCTGGGTGTACGTGCTGCACCCCACGCCTGAGCTCTGGACCCTGAACCTGCCCCACCGCACCCAGATCCTCTACTCCACCGACATCGCCCTGCTCACCATGATGCTGGAGCTTCGGCCGGGCTCCGTGGTCTGCGAGTCTGGTGAGTCCATTTGCAAAGCTCCCCTGAGAAGTGACAGGAGGTGGAGGGCAGACAGTGACCGCGTGCCCTTCCTGAGGCAGGCATGGCTACTTGACCTCTGTTTTTAGGAAATCTACTTTTATTGATTTCAGAGGGAGAGGGAGAGGGAGAGAGAGAAACATCAATGATGAGAATCATTGAGCGGCTGCCTCCTGCACGCCCCGACTGGGGATGGATCCCACAACCCAGGCATGTGCCCTGACCAGAAATTGAACCATGACCTTCGGGTTCATAAATCAACACTCAACCACTGAGTCATACCAGCCAGGCTTGACTTCTATTTGAATAGGACTGTGGTCGGCAAACTGCGGCTCGAGAGCCACATGCAGCTCTTTGGCCCCTTGAGTGTGGCTCTTCCACAAAATACCATGGCCTGGGCAAGTCTGTTTTGAAGAAGTGGCGTTAGAAGAAGTTTAAGAAATTTGGCTCTGAAATTTCATTCGTTGACCTGCTGATATTTGGCTCTGCTGACTGAGTTTGCCAACCACTGGCCTAGGACATTTCTGGGGAGCTGCCTGCAGGGAGTGAGGGCAGAAGCAGGGAGGTCAGTCAGGAGGCTGGTGCTGTACTCTGAGTGGGAGTTGATGGGACTAGAGCAAGCATGGAGGGAGGGGGCAGGCAGAGGCCCACAGTGCCCTGGTGCTGGCCAGGGTACTGACCGCCGTTCCCTAGCCCTGTGCTGACAGGCGGAGGGCGGCGGCCCAGGCCCAGGCTGAGGCGCTCTTCCTGGAGGGCGGCCAGGGCTTCTAGAGACGCTGGTGGCAGGTGGGGAACCCGCCCCCGGCACACTGCCCAGGCACCATGGACCTGAGCCCAGGAGCCGGGTGCAGGCACAGGGCTGAGGCCAGCTGTTTGCAGGCCTTTCACACACAGACACGCCCAGGGGCGCTGGACCGGCCTGGGGTGGAGCCTGAAGCCTGCACCGGGGGCCTGGGTCCCAGCAGGCTCCCTGTGGGCTGGGACACTGGGTGGGGGGTCATGAGAGGCCCTGGTGCCCCTGCTGCCAGCTGACTGAGGGCCTCAGGCCATCCTGTTCCTCTCTGGGCCTCAGTTTCCCACACGGACAATTGGATGGTCCCTGCGCAGCCAGACGCGTTGAAATGGGAAGAGTCAGAGGCAGGCTGGGCTCTGGGTCACGGAGTGGGTGGGATGGGCAGAGGCAGCGCCCAGCACGAGGCACGTGGGTGCCGGGGCAGGCGCGCAGGCGGACTCGGGGGTCAGCCCCGCTGCCCCCGGCCGGGCCTCGCTGCTCTCGGGAAAGAGGGCCGGTCCGAGGCCGCTCGGGGCTCCCCTGGTCTGGCTCCCCTCCGAGGACCTGGAGGCACCGCCGTGGCCCACAGACCAGGCCCTGCCTCTCAGGGACCGTGGTCGGGTCGCGGCACCAGGGCAGCGCGTTGACGGCTGAGCTTGTAAGACGGGCTGCGTGTTTGAAGGCCACTCAGAGGGGTCCCTCCAGGCAGCCGACCTCTGCAGCAGCGACAGTGAGTTGGAGAGGGTCACCCTGGGGAGAGGGTCCCCCGGGGGAGGGTCACCCTGGGGGCGGGGGGCCCAGTGAGAGGCAGCACAGAGACCAGCCTGGCAGGAGCAAGAAATGAGGTGGGGGGGCAGCACACAGAGCGTCAGTGGCAGTCGACTCCACCCTGCGTGGAAGGGGTGCGCGGCCAGTTTGTACAGTCACCCAGCGCCCCTGCCGGTGCTGGCCGGTTGCAGGCAGCCCGGCTGGTGGCTGTCGCTGAGCCCGGAGGAATGGGCCTCGGCGGGCAGGTGGGGACAGGACCAGCGGTGGTCCTGGTCGGGGAGAGACGAGGAAGGCGGGACAGGCGTGCGGGGCAGGCGAGCGGGACAGGCGGTCCAGGCGGATCAGATTTGGGGGAGGGAGCAGTGGGTGTGGTGGCTGGGTTGTGGAAGGCTTGGCAGGGAGTGGACTCGGTGTGGGATCCGGCCCAGCTTCGCACTATCAGTTTGGGTGTAGCCGGAGGTGGCTGGCGAGTGTGCGATAGACGCTAGATGCCAGGCCGGAGTGGGGTGCGGGGCCGTGCTACAGGGTGTTGTCATCAAGTAGTGGCACCTGAACCCAGGGGGCGAGGGGTGTTGGGGGTGGGGACAGAGGCCCAGCTGGCGCTGCAGGAAGTCGGGCAGTGGTGGCCTGTGTGGTGGCCACGCTGGGAGGCGGTGCCCGGCGGGGAGGGGAGCCGTGGTGAGTTGGTGTCGGGACTCTGAGAGGCGGAAGGATGGGCCCTCCTGGTGAGCCTGGAGCTCCGGGTACGGACCGGCCACGTGTGGAAGGCGATGGGACAGACCCAGGCCGCCCTGTCTGCTCTGCCCCAGCCCCTCCCAGCACGCGGCCCCCGGGGCTGGCCAGCGGGTTTGATCCTGTGCTGACCCCTCCCCCAGCCAGGGTCAGAGGGCAGCAGGACTGACAGGCAGGCAGCTCCCGAGGGATGCCCGCTGGTGCCCGGGCCAGCTGGCTTTGGGGCCTCTGTGGGTCTCCCGGGTGGACCCGGCCGTCCCCCTGACACCTGCTGTCCCGCAGGCACGGGCAGCGGCTCTGTGTCCCACGCCATCATCCGCACCGTGGCACCCACGGGCCACCTGCACACGGTGGAGTTCCACCAGCAGCGGGCGGAGAAGGCGCGGGAGGAGTTCCGGGAGCACCGCCTGAGCCGCTGGGTGACCGTGCGCAACCAGGACGTGTGCCGCAGCGGCTTCGGCGTGAGCCACGTGGCCGACGCCGTCTTCCTGGACATCCCGTCGCCGTGGGAGGCCGTGGGCCACGCCTGGGACGCCCTCAAGGTGGAAGGTGCGTGGGGTGCTGGGAGCGGTCCGCTGGGGGCTCGCTCTGGGCCCGGAGAGGTCAGAGGTCAGCAGGCCACACCGCAGGGCGGGATGGCCTCGGAGGTCGCCTGGCCGCAGGGTGGGGGTGAGGGTGGGGGTGGCAGACTCAGGCCGGTGAGCACGGGCTCCACTGGGTGCCCGCCTGGGGAGGGGCTGCCTCAGCCCCTGCAGAGTGTGGCAGCCCTGCCTGAGGGGGACCTGCACCACGACCCCTGACCCCAGCAGTTCCCTGCGGAGTCAGAGCTGCGCCTCCCCCAGCCAGAGCCAGGCGTCTGGTCCCTTTTAGGGAAGAAGCCGGCATGGAGGCGGAAGTGGGCGCCTAGCCAGGGAGGCGCTGGCTGGGCCCTGGGTTTTTCCCTTTTCTGGAGAGGGAGCGGCCAGGGCAGCGCCCCTCCCTCCCGCCGCTGAGCCTGCGCTGCAGGGAGGGCTGCTCCTCGGAAAGCACGGCCCCCGGCAGGGTGCTGGCCCCGGGGGAGGGTGCTGGTCCCCGGGGGGGGGGGGGGGGTGCTGGCCCCCGGGGGAGGGCGGCAGTGGCCCCTGCCCGCTGGCTCAGGCTCACCCTGGACCCCAGGTGCTCTGCCCAGGTGGCCTGGGGCCGGGAGTGGGACAGCCCTGGTTCCCCTGGCTCTGCCCTCCCAGCTTCGCCTCAGCACCAGCGCCTCACCCTGGTCTCCATCCGCTCCAGGGCCCCGGGGGGTCCAGGCCGCCGTCCGGGGAGGCCAGAGCGGGCGCCACGCCATCTGCTGCTCCTTTAATTCCTCGGCTCTTTGTTCTGGGCCCGGAGGCGCTCTGGCCCTTTTCCGGCTCACCTGCCCGCGGGAGCCTGTCCAGCCACGTGTGGCCCCGCCGTCCTGGCCCCGGGCTCGTTGCCTCTGGAAGCTCCCCCTCCCCGCGCCTCAGGGGCCTCAGTGTCTCTGGCAGTGAGCACGGGGCCGGGCTCCTCTTGGTGATCCTGCATGTGTCCCGGTTCGGGTATGGAGGGTGACCAGGCCACACCCCTCCCCCACCCTGGCTTCCAGAACCTTCCCTGCAGCACTGGGACCGGGCAGGCTGAGGGCACTGCAGGAACCCCACCCCAGCCCCTCATCCTCGCTGCCTGCCCTGTGCAGAGGAGGTGCCTCCAGTTCCTGGGAGCTGGGATGGCCTCTGGCCTCCTGGGACCCAGTGCCTCACCCGTTCGGGCTGTGTGGTTAGGGCTGTCCCAGTATGATTAGGAATGTCTGCATAGGGCTGTAAGGTGAGAGCTGTGTGGGTAGGGATGTCTGGTTAGGGCTGTGTGGTTAGGGCCAGCTGGTTAGAGCTGTGCTGGGCCAAATGAGCTGGCAGCTGGGATGCCAAGGCCCTACCTAACTCCCTACCCAGCCTTTGCCCTGCCCCTGACCCCAGCTCTTCGTGGCCTGAGCCCAGGGCCAGCCTCGGGGCACCCACCCTGCTGGCTCACACGGGTTTGTCGGTCAGCGCCCACTCCCGAGGGCTGGGTAGCGGCTTGCCCTGCAGAGGCCGAGGGGGGCGGGGTGGGAGAAAGGGGGCCCCTGCCCTCTGACCCGTGTCCTCCCCGCAGGTGGGCGCTTCTGCTCCTTCTCGCCGTGCATCGAGCAGGTGCAGCGCACGTGCCAGGCGCTGGCGGCGCGCGGCTTCTCGGAGCTGAGCACCGTGGAGGTGCTGCCGCAGGTGTACAACGTGCGCACCGTCAGCCTGCCCCCGCCCGACCTGGGCGCCGGCCCCGCGCCCGACGCCGGCCCCTTCCGCAGCGGCGCGCCCATGAAGGAGGCGGTGGGCCACACCGGCTACCTGACCTTCGCCACCAAGACCCCCGACTAGCGGGCTGCCCGGAGGCCGCCTGACCTTCGCCACCAGGACCCCGGACTAGCGGGCTGCCCGGAGGCCGCCTGACCTTCGCCACCAGGACCCCGGACTAGCGGGCTGCCCGGAGGCCGCCTGACCTTCGCCACCAGGACCCCGGACTAGCGGGCTGCCCGGAGGCCGCCTGACCTTCGCCACCAGGACCCCGGACTAGCGGGCTGCCCGGAGGCCGCCTGACCTTCGCCACCAGGACCCCGGACTAGCGGGCTGCCCGGAGGCCGCCTGACCTTCGCCACCAGGACCCCGGACTAGCGGGCTGCCTGGAGGCCCAGAGCCGTGGCTGGGCCAGCAGTGAGGCTCGCTGCCGCCTTATATGGCCGGGCGCCTGCTGGGCCTGTTCAGACAGATGGTGGGGTGGGGCCTCCTGCTGCCTGGGGGCCTGGGGGAGGGGCCGCCCTGCCCAGTGTCCCTGTAGAGCCTCACTGCCACAGGGACACTGGGCTCCTTGGGTCCGAGCCCAGGGATGCGGGTGGTGGCCCCAGGCGGGGAAGAAGGTGGGGGAGCAAAGGCTGAAGGAGGGGCCAGGGGACTCCCGAGGCCGGGCTGCCCATGAGGCCTGTGGGAACCTCAGCCCTCCCCTGGCCCCTGCCCCCTCCCCAGCGCTGGTGGGCCAGGCTGGCCCAGCCACAGGGTGCTGCACCCTCCGCGGCAGGCCCCCCCCCCCGCCCCGCCCCCTGTGCCTGCCGGGAGCTGCCTGCCTTCCTCCAGTGGGCGGGCCTTTGCCCCCAGCCAAGCTCAGCCCCTGGAGCCCTTGTTCCTAACCCAGGGTTTCTCCGGGGGCGGGGCCAGCAGGGAGTGCACCAGGATGGAGGGCCGGAGGGCCGGACACCGGGGCGGGGCACATGTCACCTGCCTGGCCTGCTTCCAGCTCTGGGTGTGGCTGCATCCCTGCCCTGCATATGGGCCTGGCACTGTGCACAGGACCACCTGGTGGAGAATAAACCCCCCCTGGCTGCACACTGAGTCCGTGTCCTGGAGGCTGGACCCCGCCCCACACCACGCCCAGGCTGGACCGCAGCACGCACCCGCCCGGCCTGATGCTTCCTGTTCCCAGCGGGCACCACGGTCTTGGACGACGGGACAAAGGCCGAGTGTGTGCCACCCCCACTGGCTGCCAAAGGGCCACTTGTCCCCGGGACGGGAGGGGGAGGGGAGAGCATGTCCGCCTGTGTCCCAGAGCTCGGACCCCCCCAGACCCCCTGCCTCTCACTCAGATGTCTGGTGCCTCGTGCTTCCTGAAGGCCCCCAGACCTGCCATCCGGCCTGAGCCATCCCAGGTTCTGTGGGTCCTTCCGCCAGGAGGACCAGCTTCCTAGTGTCTGTCCATAGGCTGCTGGCTTCCCCGCTCCCACACACCGTGCAGCCTCCGCTAGACCTTGGGCCCTCGGGGTCCTTGGAGCCAGCACCTTCCCCAGGGGCTTAGCGCGTTTCCAGGACTGGCCTGGCCTCAGACCAGATGCCCGCCGGGGACAGGAGGGCTGAGGGCTTCCCCTGGCCGTGGGGCAGGGCCCGCTGCTGGGCTCCGGCCGACTCCTGTGCGCCTGCAAGGCTCTCCCCTCCCGCCCCTGAGAGGAAGCATCCTGCTCAGCCACTGCCCCCCCACACACACACACACCGTGTCCTGTGCTACGTGGTCACCCAGGGCCAGGGAGTGACCAATTGTCAGGTCAGGGATGGTCACCTTGAGTCAGCAGCATGGGGCTGGTCACATGGCGAGGGGTCATCCTGTAACCACTCCCGCCCAGACACTGCGGCCCTGCTTTTCCTTGGAAATGCCTGCACTGCCCCACCCCTGCTGAGCGGCCAGCGTGACACCCAGCTCCGTCTGCTGCCCGGGGAGGCTCAGACCGCTCCCAGGCCCGCCAGGATCCCACCCTCGGGCCAGGAGCAGGGTCTGCCTGCACCAACTCCCACCGCCTCTGCCAGGAAGCCCCCCCAGGCCTGCCCTCGGCCCCAGGCCTGCCCTCGGCCCCTGGCCTTGCTGTTCGCTCTCCCGCTCTCCGGGCCACACCTGCGGGCCTGCCTCTGGCTTGTGAGCAGAGCCCAGGCCCGAGGGATGTGCTCCTCCTGCCCACTGCACAGATGGAGAAACTGAGGCACAGGAGACTGGGCCCCAGGCCCCGCCACCAGACCTCCCGTGTCACACCCATGCCTTGTGAGGTCCCCTGGCTGTGACCAGGAGGGAGGTTTCTCCGAGGGGTTGGCCCAGGCAGGTCTAGGGGCTGCTGGGAATCGGAGTGGGGGGAGCAGGAGGCCCTCCAGGGAAGGTGTGAGCTGGGGCCCAAGCGACCAGGTACAGTCAGGAGAAGTGCATGCTGGGAGCAGAGCAAGGGAAGGAGCTGGGCCTGTGCTGGGAGGGGGGTTGGGACAATCAGGTAGGCCTCGCCAGGAGGCGGCCAGACCCCACTCCATGCTCGGGGATGCCTGCCCCGTCACACCCGCCCTCTGGCCCCACACGATGGCGCTGGGGAGACTGCATCGATGTTGGCACAGCTTGTGCTCAGGAAACACCTCTGACCATTATCCCTGGGGCTGGAGCTGCCTCTGCCAGGAAGTCCCCTTCTCTGTCAATGCCAAGGTCTGGATTTTGGGGCTACTTATGGTTCTGATAATACCTTTTGTCCTTGGAGGCACTCAAATAGCTCTTGTGCTTCAGGGGTGTTTGAGCAGCCAGGGAACTGGCAGAGAAGACTGGGCATGGAGACTTTTCTGGCAAATTCAGGTCATCCAGCCACTGGGCTAGTCAGTTGCATAGTAAAACCCCAAACTGGGCACCTTTGGCTGGGCATGGGCCGATGGCTCTTCAGTGGACCTTCACAATTTTTAAGGCAGGTGTATCAGTTAGCTGTCACCAGAGATGTGCTGCATAACAAATACCCCCTCCCCTAGAAACCAAGCAGTCAGTTCCTCTCAGATCTGTGGCCTGGGTGCTCTTGGCCAACCTCAGCCAGGCCCAAGCAGGGGCTGAGCTGACAGGAGGCCCCTCCTCCAGACGTGGGCCTGGCTGTGCATGCTGGTCGGTCTGCAGCTCACCCATCGAGGGCAAGCCAAGTCACGGGGCACTTTTCACGCCATTGGTGTGTGGGCTAACCTAACCTCAAGTCAGGTGGAGAGAGACCTGGGGTTTTGGGGAGGGGCTGCCTGTCCACAGGCACAGGGCAGGTGCGAGCAGGGCCTTCTCTGCCCAGCGGGCACTGTGCACAGCAGGCCCTGCAGGGCCGCACCAGCCCCAGCATCCTCCCCGTGCTGCGTCTGTGCCCTTGGAGGGCATTTCAAAGTCAGACTGTGTGCAGGCGAGGCATCAGCGGGAGGGAATTGTTCCGTTCCCACCAGGCCCAGAATAGCTCAGAATTGGGTCACGCTAACCGAGCACCGGTCACAGCCTCCAGCCTTTGACAGTAATCCGCTTTCTCCCGCATCTGTCCGTGAGGGGCGGCCGCTGTGGGCGCCGTTAGACGATGGGACTGGAAGGGATGTGTACATGACTGGCCCTCCGTCCCTCATGTCCTTAGCGCTCTCTGCCGCCGCTTAACAGGAACCCCCTCCTCCTGCCCCCCCGCCCCCGCCCCCGCCACCGCCCCCGCCGCGGCCCTACTTCCCACGCCCATCAGCCCTCAGACCGGGCGGTGTGACAGGTAGGCAGGCTTGGCACTGCAGTGCCCCTCAAGCTGCAGCCCTCTTGGCCTTCCTGCTGACCTTGACCTTGACCTAAGTAGGTCACCGCCTCCAACCCCTTCTTTGACTCCCTCCTGGGTGCACCTTCCTTCAAAGGCAGCTGAAGGCGATGGCCAGTGGCCCCCACCTGGGAGAGTCCAGGCTCACCTCCCCCCCCCACATGCTCCAGCCGCCTCTCTGGGCGTGTGGCCCTTCCCCCACAAGGCCTCCCGAAGTGCCACTCCAGCACTTGGCACTGCAGACCCTCTCCGTCCCTGCCCTGGGGCCCTTGGGCCCAGGAGGCCCGGGGCCGGGCAGATGGCACCCTGTCCTGGGGCACAGGGGGAGCCAGGTGCTCGCTGCGCTCAGACACGCGCTGTGGGGAAGAAATGCTGGCGGCCTTTCCCACAGGATCCAGAGCGCAGCGCCCGTCTCCATGGCAACGTCCCAGGCATCTGCCCGGCATGGACTGCACGCTGCTGGGGAGCAGAGGCTCGCCCCCCCCCCCCCCCCCCGCCCCGTGTGAGCCTGGCTGGGTGCTGGCCCTGCTTGGGGCTCCGGTACCGGAGTGAGGGCTGCTCACCGCAGGCTTTCCTCCCAGGGCCCCGAGCTGGGGGGCCGGGGCCCAGGCCGCAGCACCGCCTCAGGGGGCTGGAGAGGCACTGCGGGCCCCCACCTCCAATTCAGGAGGTGCGTTTTGGATGGCTCCCCAGGGCCTGGAACCCAGAGCTGTGAGAAGCACCCCTTTGCCACCAGGGAGCCAGACCAGGCCTGCTGCTGGCTGCCTGGAGTGCAGACCCGCATCCCATGTCGTCCCGCCGCCTCCGCCCCCTCTGCCAGGCGGGGCGGCTGAGGCGGCGGGTGAGCCACAGGCTCTGGCCCAGGGCTGTCACCGGCGCGGCTGTCACCGGGGCTGGCGGCCTCGCTGCCTCGGCGTGGCGCATTGGGGCGCCAAGCACAGCACTGCCTCCCACAGACAGTCCCTGCACCCGCGTCCGGGCACCGGAGCGAGTGGGCTCTGCAGACCCAGGCGCTGCTGTTCCCGGGACCCCCCCCCCCTCCCCCACGGGCCCGGCATGGCACGCTGGGCCTGGGGCTGGGCTGCGGGTAGAAACGCAGGCTCCTGGCCCACTGGCTCCGGACAAGGGACAAGGATGCCCCCCCGCCCGCCGGGTCACGGGGGGATAGGAGTTTCAAACTCCGTGCCTTCGAGTTCCTTTTTAAAAAATCGTTTCAGAGAAGGGGAGGGAGCCATAGAAACACCGAAGAGGGGAATCCCCATCCGTCGTCGGCTGCCTCCTGCTTGCCCTCCACGGGGACCCAGCAGTTCGGTGCAGCCCTCCGGAAGCTTCTAGCACCATCCACTCGCTCTTCTGGAGACTGCGCTGCGGTCCGCTGGAACTTGTGCTGGGCTGGTCGGGGTGTTTGTGCGGAATGCCGTCCCCTGGGGTCACGGTCTCCCAGGCAACACCTGGCGGAGGCCCAGAGGACAGCCGCGAGCATCGCCGCACGGACCTTGTTGGGTGCTGATTTGAACAAACAAAATGCTTTATTTTTATTTTAAATAGATTTTATTGATTTCAGAGAGGGAGGGAGGGGAGAGAGAAACATCAGTGATGAGAGAGAATCACTCATCGGCTGCCTCCGCACACCATACACGGGGTGGAACCCCCAAACTGGGCCCGTGCCCTGACCGGGAATTGAACCCTGACCTCATGGTTCATAGGTCGCCGCTCAGCCCGAGCCACAGGGCTGGTGCTGTTATTGTAAAGGAAAAATGCCCCAGGCTGCTTGGACCCTGAACTGTTCTGGGCTCCAGGCAGGGAAAGAGGTCAGTCAGAGGTCTCTATCCTGGCCCCTGGGTCACCTCCAGCCTCCAGCTCCCCTCCCTCAGGGCCGGGGGGGTGTCTGGTTCTCAAGTGGGGGGCCTGGGGGAGGGGAACAGCAGGTGGCCTGTGGGTGCTGGGGGCACAGGGGTGCAGTAG